TGATTTGGTGGGCAAAGCATACCAGTTCTGAAGACAACTGTTAACCATTCCAGTAGAAGAGAATATAGCTCAGAGTCGAACTACAGTGACCTTGGTGCTCTCTGAGCTTGGTGGCTTGTTTGCAGACTCTTCATTGCGATTCACCCTGATGTTACCTACCGTGCTACCCCAAAAATAAGACCCTTATAAGGTCTTATTTTTGTTTTGGCCTCCAAAAGAGGCACCAGGTCTTATTTTCAGCACCGACAGCCCTGCCCATCTTCTGGAAAGGCCTCTGACTGCAAAATGCAGGATGAAGCTGCTCCTTCAGCCACAGAAGAGGTGGGCTGTCGATCCATGGGAGGCCTGGCTGCAATGGTAAGCTCCACACCCCCACCTGATTTTTAGGTGCGCCCCTCGCCCCAAAACTAGGGCTTATTTTTTGGGGTAGGGCTTATATTAGGCCCACCCCCCAAAATCAAGCTAGGGCTTATTTTCGGGGCAGGCCTTACTTTTGGGGAAACGCGGTAGTTTACCCAATGAGGTAACATCAGTATGAAGTGCAATGAAACGTCTGCAAGAAAGACACCAAGCTCAGAGAGCACCAAAGACTCCACAATTCTTAACTGCGTCACTGACAGGTTAATGTTTAAGCAGTTTCAATATGCAATATTGTTTACGTGTTTTATCGTAAGGATCCTATTACTCTTTCCTCAAATACTTTGTAAGGTGATAAATTCCTTTCATTAGCATAAGGCAACTTTCAATAAGCACACCCTAGAATGTCACATCTTGTATATAGAGACATTGCCACAATATCACTACTTCTGGAGTCAACATTGTTCAAGCAAGGAATGACTAAAGATTACAAACTAACAAAAATAATGGAACAGTCATTTAAAATCTGCATTTTGGCTTAGCCTTAAAATAATCAAATACTTACCATCTGCCACACTTGCATTATATTGTCTTCTGATACAGAACAAATTACCCAGGGTTCATTGGGATTCCAGGAGAAGTCAGATATCTTTGCAGTGTGACCCCCATGAATGAACTAATACCAAAAACAAGAGACAGTGACATAAATACTCAATAGCAATGGAGCGTACCATTAGAAACAAACTTTATAAAATCCAAGAGACTTGCCCATATAAAATGTATTAATCTTTAATACTTACTTCTAAATATATAAGCTTTTAAAAGCACATTCTAGAATACCGTAAAATACTAGCCTAGCAATAAAGTTGCTGAAGTTTTCTATTTTAATTACATGGACATAAAAAGTCAACATGTGCAAAACATATGGCAGGAACTGAACTTTTAGACTCCAGAATAATTCCATTACTTCTCCAAATCACTCTATTTTTGGTACGGCCCAGTGGTTTTTCAGAACTTGTTCCTCAAAACCAAAATGGATTATTATGGTATTCTGTAAGACTGGGGCCAGATCATGGAAAAGCACTATGAATTGCTTCTGTTTTGAGGATTAAATTCTTGGAAATCAGAGGACAAACCAAGGCGGACCAGACTGATACAACCTGGAGGAGAAATGTTGCCCAATATCACATTTTTGCAGTCTCAAAAGTTAACTACAGGGAACATGAACAAGCGGCATTCGACCATACCTTTCACCTTATTTTATTACCTCTTTGTAGATTTGGAAAGCACATCTCAGGACAAAATAGATTACAGAAAGTGGCAAAAGCAAAAAGTTGCTCAGTCAGACGGACTCTGGAATTTTTGGGTAAAAGATGAAGGGGGGGGGATCATTTCAAACAGAGAGGTAGCAGAGATACCATTGTGGCAAGATTAAAGTCGGAAGGATCCTTGGTGTTCTCTGAGCTTGGTTGTTTTCCTGCAGATGTTTTATGGCCCAACTAGGTAACATTATCAATACTAGTAAGGAGTGGGATTTGCTCTCAGTTTACTTTCTCGTGGCTGGCCCTGCCAGTATTGGTGGTAGTGGTGGGGGGTCCTAGAGGCTCAATTGGGTTTGCTTGGCAGTTCCTTGACTGGGCTTACTTGATTGTTGGTCCAATATTAATCCTGGAGTTAAATCTGTGTTCATCTGGATGCTGATTGTTGGTGAGGATCTTTTTGTTCCCTTTTTGGCTTGTTGATTGTCTCTTTGCACAGTGTATAGATTTTTTTAATGTCTGTGTATCTATTGATGGCTAATGTGTCATGTCAGAGTGTCAAGCTTCTAGAAATTCCCTAGCATTTTTGGACTTGGCTTGGTCTAGGTCAGAATTTCCCAATTGAAACTATGGTTAGGTCAGTCCATATGCTGCAAAATTAAAGAGTTTTCCCCATGTCTTCTGACTGCTAGTTGGCATTCATGGATGCATTTTGCCAGTCTTCTGTTTGTCCTACTTAGCGGCTGTTGCAGTCAGTACCCTGCATGTTGTAGATGGCTCCTGTTTCTTCTTCTGGGGCTGCTGGGTCTTTTGGTTAACTTAGGATGTTTGGAAAGCTTTAGTTGGCTTGTGTGCTACGCTGATTCCATGTGGTTGTAGTAGTCTGTTGGTAGTTTCTGAGATGTTCTTGATGTATGGCAGTGTTATTTTTTTTTAGGGCTTGTGTTGGTTGTGCTGTATTAGGTTGAGTGGCTGAGTAGATTAAAGCACCCACTTACCAGCAATTCAGGTGGACCATCTTCTGCATCCTCGGGAGATTGCTCTTCTCCGATTTTACTAGAAAAGAAAACGCTGCATTATATAAAAACCATTCCTGATAAAACTTATATACGTATCATTACACTAATCAGATGCTCACCTCAAATCCCAGACATTCAGTCGGCGATCAGTACCACTGGAGGCCAAAATGGTTTCATTATGTGGTGACCACTGAACCTGAGGAATAAGATGATGCAAAACACATTGTTGTACAATAGGCACTCCTCACTTAATGACAACTTGGAACAACAGCTCCATTGCTAAGTGATTAAGCGAGGCATGCGACCATGATGGACTTATGGTGCTTTAATTGTAGAACTTTTGAAAGGTCTTCTTAAAGATGCCCAACTTGTCAAAGGATCAAGAGCAAACCATTCCATAACCATTCCATGAATTACCTGAAATATTTCATCTTTATGTGACTCAAAGGAATGCAGCTTTAGTTTCAAGTTTCTCAGATCCCACAATGCAACAGTCTGTCCAGGAAGATCAAAACACAGGGTGATAAATTAAAACATTTTCTCTTTATTTCATGTAGTCAATATTGTGCAATCATATGCTCATTACCTCTTCAATAATACCAAGAGGCCCTATGTAATATGCTGATCCAAAAGACCCCTTAACTGAAACCATGACTTTAAAGGCAAAACACTATACATAATTCTAGTTAGGTACCTTATCGGCTGATCCTGTAGCCAGAATGAACTCGCTGTAAGGATTGAAAGACAGGCAGTTCACTTCAGCAGTGTGAGCATCCACTGAATGGCTTGGTTTGGAAGTGTTGTTTGAACGGGTGTCCCAGCTTAAAAAAAGAAAAGAAAAATAAAGCAATTCAGTTTGAAAAACTGTTCTCATAGGATAGTAATATATTCATCACTGTGTGATTAACAAAACCCTTTTTTAAATAAAAATAAATAAATCAGAAATTCAGTTTGAGATAAAGGATACTGCTTTGCTTACATCATGAGTTTCTGATCATCAGCAACAGATCCAAAAAGAGATTCGTGGAGCAAATGCCAGGAAACATCCTCCACCACAGCTGTATGACCAGTGAAGATAGTTTTAGCATCCACCACTTTCCCTTCCTTTGGAACAGCACTTATGTCCCACAAGCAAATAGTCTTAAACAAGGAGGAGAGAAAGTGTGTTTTGTTAGGATAATTTATCTGGCAATTAATACATGAAATGGGATGTGCTAATTAAGCAAATAATTACTCACATGATCGTCAGATGCACTTAGCAAATGTCCACTAAGATTTGGATTCCAAGACAGACCATAACCTTCTTTTTGATGCCCCCGAAGACGCAGATCTGGATTGCACTCCCCAGAAGGATCTACAAAGAAAACAGCGACTGAGCAAAAGCACAAATGTAATAAAATAATAATCATTGCTTCTCATTTTTTAAAACATTTAACACTAGGGAATTGCAAATAACAACCACGTAACTACTGTGAAAAAGTGTCAGCTTTAACTCCAACCTGATTCAAAATTAAGAAAACTTGACTGTCTAGTTGAACCACATAATTAAACTGTTACTCAAAACCCTTCCTTAGTAAACACTATCATACACTTTTCCTACTTGCCCAAATGCATAAATGTTACTTTTAATTAATTTTTAACATTCAAATAGTGATTTGGCATATAACATTTTTAAGATATTTCCAAAAAGGAGATAAAAGACATGAAACTCGATAAAAACCTGGTTTAGATGGATGTTTCGTATAATCAAATACAAGAACATCACTGGATGGAGTTTTTGTGGCAATAATGCAAGGATTCTGAGGCATGTAGCGGGCTCTATTCACTTCTCCTTCATGGTTGATTTTTATTTCAATTTCAATTTTTCCACTAACAGATCCAAAGCCGCCAAATTCTGGAAATAAAGAGAAAGTTTATAAACTCTTCTTTGTTGCTGATCATAGGATATGAATTCAGAACAGAAATATAAAAACTAATGCAATAATACCATACAGCAATCTAAATATTTAAGCTCTGGAAACTACTATTGCTGATTACTAAACCGTGCTTAAGCAAATGGGACATTAAAAGCTTTCCTTTGATTTATCTAAAAAAAGAAAATACTGACATTTCATATTTATAGTGTTACACAAGTGTTTCTATCAGCTCATTATCAGATGTTCATCATGCACCTAATGGAAACATAACTAAATGATTTTAAACCATTAGTCAATAAAACCAAAACAAGAAATCAGGGACTGCCAAAAATTACACAAAAGATGCAATTACACAAGCTATGCTTTAAACAACAAGTCTAAACCCTTAACTAAAAATGTAATTTTTCTTTTACCTCCTTTTTCACTATCATAATGTGAGGCATCAAACTGGGCATCGTCATTGGGGAGCTGGACACTGGCTATCACAAGGTGATTTTGCTCATCAGACGTATGGGTCCCAAGAACTAGCCGGTGAATACTGAAATCTTTGCCTTCAGGTCTGTAATACCATTAAAAATGAGATTGGGTTGAACTTAAGAGAGCTGTGTAATAGGATATGGCCTGACTCAGAGAAGGCCAAGGCATTACAGAAAAGGTATGCGAGTCCCAGGAATGTGAGAAACAAATTCAAACAAACCTCACCTTGATTAGTTTAGCATTAAGATTAATTAGAGAGGGGGTTTAGATAGCTTCCTGCTACAACATCCTAATTATATAAAATCCTGTCTGAAGACTCCACACGATTCCTGTTTCTTGGCTATGCCTACCTTTAAGATTTGACCATTATTTTCCCAGGACTGAGTAACAGCAACATTTTAGATTTTGTTTTTGCCAAACACAACACATCCATAATGGCTTAGCAAAATTTGTGGAACAAGATTTATTCCAATTTAAAATAGGTTTTACTTGTTGTGCTCACCCCTATTTATTATATGTCAATAAACAGCTGCAAAAGAAAATTAAAAGTATGGTGAGGACTACTGTGTGCATATAAGTCTTATCCCCGATATGCACATGTCAGAATTATTGGCACTTTGAGATAATGGGAGCAAGGTCTTTAAATTTATGCTAAATGCTGCTTATGGCTATTCTTCCAGCATGTTTACCCAGAAATCTCACTCTGTTCAATTCTTAGAGAATTACCTGGTTACATCAGGAAGCCACTGAGCAGTCAAGCTGGGCCATTCTAAGGCATGTGTCATTACAAGGTCATAAAGAAAGGGAGTATTCTTTTTCCATATTTTATATTCTTCATTGATCACTCGTTCCTCCACTGCATCATCAAAGGCAGCTAAAATATAACATCAGCGCGATTCAATTAATTTTATAGTTGCACGAAAACAAATTATTACTAAAACAAACTATTCAGGATAGGAGATAGAAGGGAAAAGTTTACTTTTTATACACCATAAAAGCTTATCAGGAAATGAGAACATCTAATAATTAAACATGAAATCCTTCCTGCATAGACCTTACTGTTGGCTCGGTAATTATCACTGATGCACACCGGCACACCATTTTTTGGTTGTTAGAAATGATTTCCCACAATATCAATATTAAAGTTCCAAGTCTGCGGGCAGCCCTTTTCCACAAGACAGAGCACAAGACCAGAGGGATCAAACTGTCATTTGTTTTCTTTAATGCTTCAAAAGAAAATCCAGCTCCGGCGTGCAGCGCAACCAAGAGCCTTCGTTTCCACCCGGAGATACTCCGCTTCAGATGGCTTCAGCCGAGCGCTCCCTCCGGGCATCTGCGGAGGCCTTCCTCCCGGCTACCGAGCGGCCAGGCTTCCCACTCCGCCTCGTTTCAAGGAGAGCAACCCCACCGCGCGGGAGAGCGAGGCCCGTTCCCGGGGGAAGCCGGGCGGGCTGCGCTGGGCCAACAATGGCCAGGCCCCCCCCCCGCCCCTCCCCCCCCGGGAGCAATTGGGCCGCGCCGCCCAGAAAGGCCGAGCGGGGGGAGGGAGGGAGGCCCGGCGGCTCCCCGGCCCTCCTTCAAGCCCTCCGGGGGCCGGGAGGGAAGGGCCTCGTCCCCCCCCCGCCCCGCGGTCGGCGCCTGGGCAGCCGCGGCGCCGGCGTTGCTCCTCCGGAGGGCGGAGACCCGACTGCCGCGGCGCCCTTCAGCAGCCGCCGGGAAGGCTCAGGCCGACGCGGAGTGAAGCTGCCGGGCGAAAGGGGGGCGGGGGAGAGCGCCAATTCCCCGGCCAGGAAACCGGGGAGCCGCCCGGCCCGACCTACCTGAGCCATCGGGCAGCCCGGCCCGCCTCATCCCGGCGCACTCACCGCCGCCGCCGCCGCCGAGGGAGCCAGAAGCGCGGACGCGCCGCCGCGGGGAAAGAGTTGGAGCGGGCGGGCCCAGCGCGCGCGGCGCACCCCATTGGGCAGCGAAGGGGAGACGGGGCGGGGCCAGGTCGACAGGCGCTGGGATTGGCTGAGGGGCTCCCCGCCTGGGCGGGAAGGGAGTGCGGGAGCGGGGCCTTTTCCGGCGGAGCCTTCCTCTCGGCGGAGCAGGGCTCGCTTACCTTCCTTATCCGCCATGATGGCGATGCGTTGAAGGGGCGCGTGTGCGTCACGGCTCCCGGTTCCCGACGGCTGGCCGGCCACGCCTCTATGGTTTGGCGAGGCCGCCGCCTGTCCCTCGCCCCCCCCTCGTTCGCCCGTCGCCTCAGAGCGGCACCGCGCGCGCCGCGTTCGCGCCAACGGCAGCCAATCGCAGACCCTCACGGCCGCGGCCTCCTCCACGAATCACGAGCGCGGGAATGGCGGGAGGGGGCGGGGCAGGAAAGGCCGCGCGCGCGCGAACGAGCGAGCCCCCTGCCGCTGCTTCCTCCCCCTCCCTCCGCCTGAGCCGCCATTTTCGGGAGGGGTGTGGGGGGGTCCGGGCTGGGTGGGCTGCTCCGGGGAAGGACCTCCTCCTCCTTCTTCCCCCCCTTTGGTCGCCCTCACAGTTGTCAATCATTCCGTCATTTACTCGGAGGAGGAGGAAGGTGGGGTTTTTTTTCCTCCCCTTTCGGGGCAGCCGGTCAGGCACAAATCCAGCAGGTAAAGTTGCCAAAAGGAGGACCGCTTCCTCGCCTTTTTCTAGGGCAGGGGTGGGCCACCTTGGCTCTTTTAGGACTCGTGGACTTCAACTCCCAGAATTCCTGAGTCAGCCATGGCTAAACATGGAAACCTCTCCCTTTCCCCTCAGCGTGGCTGGCTCAGGAATTCTGGGAGTTGAAGTCCACGAGTCCTAAAAGAGCCAAGGTGGCCTACCGCTGTCCTAGAGGCCCCCGAGAGGGTTTCGGGGCGGAGTCGGACCTCTGCGGAAGCGCCCCGAACGGCTCCGGCGCCTTCCGGGTCTCCGAGCGCGGCTGTCCCCCGGGCGCCATGGCGGAGGAGGACGGCGGCGAGAGGGACTACGGCCTGACGGCGGCGCAACGGGCGGTGAAAGGCCGCTACCCCGCCATCCAGAGGAAGTACGCGTGTGAGTGCGGCCCGTCGCCCCGGGCGGGCGGGGGTCTCCCTTCCTCGCCTGGTCCGGGGTTTCCTCGCTCGGGAGCTGCGGGGGGAGGAACAGCCGCCCGGGGAACGCGAGAAGGGCGATTCCCGCATTTATCGCAGGTGGGAACGAGAACCAGGATGGCTGGGCGGAGAGAAGCCGAGCCAAGTGCGTTGTCTTCGGGCGGAGGGCAGAGGAGAGCCAAGCGGCCCTTTCCTCGTTCAATTCTTCAATCATAAGTTTATTCTCCGTAATTCAGTGAGTGCGCAGCCTCCAGCCGTCCTTGGGGAGGTTTTGCTCAACTATACTTCTAGCACGGCTAAATCAATAGGTTTTCTATTTCCCAATCTGGAAAAAAAATGTTGAGATTTTGAATTTGAGATGATTATTTTTTCACTAGCAAATCAAAACCTGTGACTCCTTGAGCTTCAGGCCTTACTGTGTTTTTTGTGGATTTTACTTTGACTAATTGAATTTATATATATTTTAAACCACATTTAGATCTGGATCACACAGCTGATGTGCAGTGAGTATTTTTACCTAAGTGTATAATCTAATAAATGGAAGGGGGAGGGCTAAGTTATACAATGTCCATTCTTTCGCTAGTCTTCAGGAAAGAGTTTTTTCATGTCATAATTCCTCATTAGTAAATCTAATCTTATTTTATTCTGGATATGCTAGACTAGCATCTTAACTCTGTCTACAAAGCATTGTTCCATGTTAGGTTACTTATTCATCTTGTTCCATACTTGTCCAAATTCCCATGTTGTATTAAAATTATTTTATCTTGGTTTAGTGTGTTTAATTAGATTTAATTAATTTAAGGGACTTAATTTGAGTCCATTAAATTAATTAAAATTGATTCTATTACAGCTTAGCAAATTTGTGACTGGGTTGTTAGGGGTTAGTCAGGAAATAATGGCTTACAAAAATTATGCTTGGGGAAGGCAACTCAACTGATAATGATTCTCCAGATTGGAAGCTTCTCCAGTCTCCAATTCTGTCTGTAAAGGGGAGGAAACAAATATGGTCTCCCTATCTGGAAAACAGGAGTTAAGTCCCTAAGATACATGTCTTCCCCAAAACCTTCTAGCTTAAATCCAATGTATGAGTTTGTACCTGTTGGAAGATCACATAATTTATTCTAAAAGATTCCTCTGCAGACTGGGAAGAAGAGTGAATGAAAACAAAGGTTTTTCTAAAGAGCAAGTCATTGTAGAGGTTATTGTTAGCACATTGAATAAAAGCCACAGAATTAAAAGGGAAACTATTTATTTTCTATTCGAGACCTCAAAGTTTAAATCATTTACTATTTATCCTATAAATCCATTGAATTGTCCTTTCTGATACTCTGGTCTTCAGATTTCTCATCTGTATATTTTATTCTGATGCTAGGACCATCCTACCAAACAGAATTAATTCTGATCAATTTGTAGGTTGCATGCCTGGGGTGATACCTTGGAAGAGGCGTTTGAACAATGTGCTATGGCCATGTTTGGGTATATGACAGACACGGAGACCGTTGAACCTCTTGACACTGTAGAGGTGGAAGCGGAAGGTAAGAAAGCGCTTTTGAAGCCCGGCTGTTCTAAGCAGGCATTACCCAGAGGTTTTTGCCCACATCTACAGGCAGGAACAACTTTTAAGAAGGCTGCCTTGAACTCCATGAGCGTTTTTAAAGAGCAAAGTATTAGATGAAGATCTGTCAGTGCATGAATGTATTGATTAAATATATGGACCTGCTTTTATTATATTGTCTATGAATCAGTTCTCAAATGGCCCCAAGGAAAACATTGGATGTAAGATCAATTCCTTAGTCCTTCTCTGCCCACCAGAAAACCCAGGCAGGGGGAAAACATTACTTCCACCCAAAAGTTGTAAAAGACTTGTAAGCATAATTGTCGATTCTTGCAGGTAGGCAAAAAAATTAATTTTCTTTGCATTCAATTTAAGACAACGAGCAGAAAAAGCAGTTTTAGCATAGTTAAGAATGTGCAGGAAAATGATGAGCCCTCTCAGTGTGGTTCACACAAACATCACCTTTCATATCCTTTGCCCAGCCTAAAACTGTTTAGGGTAGTAATCAGATATGTTTGGGCAGGGAGGAGAAATTTCTGCTTTGAAAATCCACCTGAGGTTTCTAATATATTTTTCCATAGGACACGATATGCTCTCTCTTCTCTTTCATTTCCTCAATGAGTGGCTCTATAAATTCAGCGCTGAAGAGTTTTTCATACCCAGAGTGAGTATTTACTATTTTTCATCTTAAGAAATAGGGACGCTGGCTCTTTGCGATGATCCTGTTGATCTATTGAATTCATCCAATCTTACGACACTGAGGAGGATCATAAGACTGCAACTAGCCATTGAGAAAATCTAACGAGGAGCAGGAACGTATTTTATTAAGGTCCCGTTAGTTGCATTCTACTTGTGAATCAGGGATTTTTTACAGATTAACTAGATTATATGGGCTGCTTGAGATGCTGGAGCAGACTAGAATATCCATTTGTCGTTTCTAAGAAGTTACTGCTTTAGGTCTGTCCTGATGTATGTAGAGAGTGGGCAACTGTTCTGCTTGGATTAAGAATCCTGGTACTTGAAGATGCTACTGGAGGTGTGTGAAGATGTATACATTTCGTACTAAGGTTAAATTCCTCCCTGTTTATAGGAAGTGAAAGTGCTTCACATTGACCGAATACGTTTCAAGATACGCTCTATTGGGTACGTGAAATTACCCAGTTTAAAGTAGAGGAGTCGAAATTCTAAAAACTAAAGACTTTCATGGAAGATTCTGCAGAGTCTACTAAGATTCTGCAAAGATGGTTACTAAGTGTCATCTCTGCCAGGTTTCTTCACTATGATTTCTCATGAACTTTTGGGAAAGGAAATGCACGCCATTGTGATCAAATTTGTCTGCCTTTAAATCAGCATTCCCCAACCTTTTCGGATTGGTGACCAGGCATGGGGGGGGAGGGGATGGTTTTGTGTGAGGGCCAGGTGTGCAAGCCCGCACAGCTTCATTCACTGGTGTGAGTGGGGGTGTGAGCCTCCTGCTTGCACAAAAGCTGCGCCCGTGTGCCGGCCTGCCACTCACACAGCCTGGTTGCAAATAGGCCATGGCCCAGTAGTGGGCCACGGCCCACAGGTTGGGGACCCCTGCTTTAAAATGACCCAGGTGGCTTCCCCCTCTGGTGATGGCTTTTTAAAAAATGCTTTACTCTGGTAATCTAATGATCGCTTTCTTTTATTTTCAAGGTGGGGAGAAGAGTTCTCTTTGCAGAAGCATCCCCAGGTATTTTCTAACGAGCTTTAACATACCGTAGTTCTTGTGAATCAGAGTCAGATCTGGCTTGGTTGAGCATCTTTCTGCGTTGCAGGAAAACGATCCTTGCATTTCTAAGTCATAGCTCATTTAACCATGATTTACTAAATAAGCCACACTTGTTTAGGTCCACATAACCACAGTTAAATGATCCATGCATTGCAAGCCACAACACTTAATAGTATGGCTTGGCATGATTTATACATACAGAAACCATTTATTTTCATTCTGACTAGAAGAAGCAAGTGAGCGTACAGTCCCTGCCTCCAGTTTGGCTCTTCCCTTGTTTCAGCGCAAAGAGACGCTGTTGCTCAAATGTTCACATCTGATTTCTGTTCTCTGCTCTTGACAAGGATGTTTGAATTCTGCCTGAATAAGCCATGGTTAAGCATGGTTTGTTGAATTAGCAAGTTATTTACTGTTTTCCCTTTGCTTGTTCATCTCAGGGGACAGAAGTCAAAGCAATCACGTATTCAGCCATGCAGGTCCAGGAAGAAGGAAAACCAGAAGTTTTTGTCATAATCGATATTTAAAGAAAGGTGGTCTGTCTGCTGGACGATCCCTCTGCATCCAGCCCGTTGAGCAACAGGAGTCATTTTCAGGAGGAGCCCAGAAGCCAGTCGGCCAGGAGAAGCTCTGGATGCAGATTCAGGCAGCAGCCATTGAGGAGATAATTAGACTAACTTGGCAGTGAAAGCCAGAGATGAAATTGTTAGCTGTTTCATGACAAGATGCGTGATGGAAATGAACTAGGATTATTTTTTTTCTTGTTTTAATTTAATTCCTCCATTTCCCCCTTGGGGAATACATCCAGTAAGAGGAAACAAAGCGTGCTCCTCGTGTCTGGTGTTCTTCGTCGGCTTTGGCACCAGGCTCAGACCCGAACTGGGGACGACGCTGGCATGGAGGAGAGCCATGTTAGTCTCTGCGGGCCAAAAATCAAAGGAGTCTGCTGGGCAAAAATGCAGATAGTCCTCAACTTGCAGTCACAGTTGGGACCAGAATTTCCATTGCTAAGCGACAGAGTTGTTAAGTTAGTCTTGCCTGATTTTTCTAAGCCTTTTTGCCACAATTATGTGAATCGCTGCAGTTGTTAAGCAAATCCGTCTTCCCCCACTGGCTTTGCTTGTGGGAAGCTGGCTGGGGAGGCTGGGAATGGTGATTCCAGGACCCCAGGATGCTGTAACTGTCCTAAATACATGCCGGTTGCCAAGCCCTCAGACGCCGCGGCAGTCATAACAAATGGTTGTAAGTCGAGGACTAACTGTAGTCAGGGAGGTAGAACTCAAAAGTAATCTCGCGTGGGGTGTGAGGGGGAGGCCATGCTTGCCACAGAAGGGAAGAGAACGACTGGCCCACAACTATCTTGGATGGGATGTAAATATTTTAAATGTATTCAAAATATGTTCACTTTGCGTAAACAAGCAGTATGACAAAATATTTGACTGTCGTAGAAGCCAAGAGGTACTGCATCTGCCCACTTGACAAATGTCACTGGCCTGGGGGATTTCGGGGGTTTTGCCACCCTGTGCCAGTGAAAGGTGTTTTGTCAATCAGGAAGCTGTCTTAATGCTACAAGTATAGTATTTTACTATAAATAGCAACTAGATCAGGATCTCAGGACTTCCTTCCCCACTGAAGGAAACACCAGGGTGTTGGGCTAAATGAGAAAATACAGGTTATATTACCTCTCACAACCTCGCATGTTTGGTGCAGTGTAACATTTCCATAAAGTCAAGGAAGTCAACGTGTGAACAGATGCATCATGAGGAAAAGCTGCAGTCCCACCTGTGTGTTCCAGTGCTGGATTTGAAAAGTCTCACTTGTTCTACCAGGTGCAAGGCCTGCCAAGAGGGTTCACCGAAAACAGATTTGGGAATCAAAAACTGGTTTTGAAAACTTACTGTTTTTAATACACAAACGATGGTTTGGAGAAGGCGCATGCTTGCTGAAGGATTATGAATTGTCCACTTACATTCCTTTGGATCTACTGGCCGTCTTTCTAAGATAACACATAGCTGAGGTTACTGTCCTTGGCCGAGTACAGGCTGGAGCACTGCTAAACCTTCCATATTTGTGTTTATAGTTAAACCAAACTCTTATACGTGCAAAAATTTAATTCAGTAACTGAATTACTATGAAGTTCACTTTTATTTTGAAGGGCTTCCCAATTCTGTAAAAGGATTAAGAGGATAATTTTATATTATCAAAAGTTATCACGGTCACCGTTTGCAAATAATTGTTCATACATCGCGCCATCTTCAAACGGAGGCCTCCTTATGCAATAAAATAGTGATACTTGGGAGTAGCTAAATTCAGAAGAGAGACAATGGCATGTCCGTCAGTCACTGCATGCAGTTGACCCCAAACCAGGGAAAGCCTTCAGAGCAGAGTGCATTTGAACCCTGGGCCGGCAGGTAGGCAGGCTGGGCGTCAACGGTCAAGACAAGGAATGAGATGACGCAACAGGAAGATGGGGGGAGACTCTACGACCGATCAGTCCTCCATACCTACCTAATGTTGGGCTTTACATCTTTTTCCTCGGCTTCCTCGTCACTGTCATCCACTTGCTGGATAACCAGATCAGACGAGCCGTCCTCTACAATCTCCACGTCGGATCTGTTGTCTTCGCTGTAATTCCAGTTGGAGTCTTTGTCCTCTTCCAGAGGGAACTCCGGGGGCGGTTCTGTGTCCAAGTCAATGCGGATGCTGTCGATCCCGGCTTCGGAGAGGCATTCGTTGCAAAGTCTGTAGCGTCTGGTCCCTTCCTGGACCACCTGGCCCGTCATTTCGGTGACATGGCGCTTGCATTTTCTGCAGATGGGCTTGCAAGCTTGATGGATCTGCAGTGATGGGAGGGAGGGGACATTAGCAGAAAGTGCTTACATGGACATTGAATTGTTTGGCAATAGCAAGTAACACTCTCCTTACTGAGAGAATTGCTAAGTTAAATTTAGACCTAAGTTAAATCGATTTAATCTAGAAAAGACTTTGTAAGAGCTGGACATCATTAGTGTTTGAATACGATGGGAGGTAAAAAAAACAAATCTCAGGTGGCAGCAGCACTGAACCACTGACTGCTCTGTGGCCTGGCAGAAAACTCTATGAAGTTGTTTATGATGTCAGCAGGAGTCAAGGTCGAGTCAAGATAAACCTAAATTTCAGGATAAGAAGGACTTCTCTCTCTCTCTCTTTAGCAAAGAAGTGATGAAGATTAAAACAAATTAACTTCTTACTTGCAAAGTGAAGTTATTACAGGGTAACGCTCTTGTACAATTTTGTATATAATTACATAATTCTCTCGGCCAAAGTCCCCCGTGCTGAGCAGAGGCTCCCCCGGGGCCTTAAGGCCCACCTTGCCTCAGCCTCAGAAGCCAGGTGGTTCTCTACAATGCAGGCTTTGCTTTGACCATCCGGTGTTTCACTACAACTCCCAGAACTCCTAGTCGTGTGTCTATCTGTGTGTGAAGGTACCGTCTTAAGGCAAAACATCAAAAAAAAAAAAAAAAGTTTACCGTCCGAAAGTGGCTGCTCAAGTGATCCAGCCGGCTGAACCTTTTCCCGCAGGCTTCGCAAGGGTACGGCCGCTCTCCTGTGTGGCAGCGGAGGTGTCGCTTCAGGTCTGCCTTCCGTTTCACCACGTGGGTGCAGAAGGGGCATTTGAACCTCATCCGAGGCAGGTCCTCTGAAATACAAAGCACCCCCTTCAGCTGCAAAACCCTCCAGACGGACCCCGACTGGTCTACGTGGAATTACTAGTCATCCAATGACCTTGGAAGGAGCATAAAACAGCATTTTGCAGCCTTGGCAACTGTTAACACCTGTGGACTTCAACTCCCATGATTGCTCAGCCAGAAACTTTGGGAGTTGATGTCCACACGTCTTAAAAGTTGCCACGGTTGAGAAACCCTGGTCTAAAAGCAGGCAAAGTGGCTGGTCTTTATGTGCTTATGTGGCTCAATTCTGTTCAAGTGAGCAATGAGAACTTGCAACAGATTCTGCTGGAAAGTGCAGATGGTCCTCAATTTACGACTAGTTGCTTAGCAGCCGTTCAGAATTAACGATGGACTTCTCTGCGGCCATTTACAGCCCAAATTCAAAATTCCGATGGCTGCCCCACCCTTAGCCTGTGACTGCATTTTGGGCATTTGGCAACCTGCACACCTTTACAGCTGTTTGCAGCACCCCATTGTCACAATTTACAACATTTTTTGCTGGAAATAGGTGTTTATTTCCTGTTTCTGGCAAAACCGGCCCATTATGAACCAGCGGTTTGCTTAATCACAACAAAGGTGGTAAAATTCAGGTGCAGTCACGTGATGACCTGCTTAATAATGATGGGTACGAACTTCCAACTATAATTCTGGGCTCAATTACAGTCGTAAGTCAGGGACCACCTGGAATAGCCCAGCCCAGAGTCTCCCCAAGAGTCGCTTTTCCAGCGATGCACAGCCTTCAGGTTTACTAGCCGGGATTCAGCAGCTTTTTTACAGATGCTCACTTTGATCCTTGGCTCCTTCATGATGCAATGCTGAAACATTCCAAACTCTGCTTTGGAAATTTTGTTCCCAGAGGCCAGTTCCTGTCCCTCTCAGGGCCAAATTCAGCCTCTGGCACCAGCAGCTTTTTTCCACTGTTGGGTGAAGGAGACAGATTTGGACAGAAAATGGTCTGTGTTGCTTCTCCCCCCTTTGTTGATCGGACCAAACATGATGTGCTTAGGTTTTTGTTAACTCTGAAACCTATTTTTGGTTAAAGGGTGGTTATACATACAAGAAATGAATATGGAGGAAGGAAAGGAAAATTCTTTTAAGCAAACTCAGAAGGAGCTCGGCTTTAATTCTTGGAGCTTCAGCCTGCCGACGGTTTCTGCACAAGGTGCTCCCTGCAACCGGTGAGAGTCCAGCCCTTCCCTTCGGTCTCCTCTGCTCTATCGGCCGGCCCCCCAAGGCTCAGGGGTTGCATAAGGATCTCCAGCTAGCTCCATTTTGGCACCACCATCAGAATACCAGAAAGGCACACTGAAGTTCAGGTCAAAGTTCATGCCACAGGAACAGGAAAAACCCTCAAAAGCCCAAGAAGGTATAAAAACCCACCACTCCCAGGTGCATGTAGTCAGCTGCTCCAGAGCCTCATGTCTTGTGGTTCTGCTCTTCAATAAACAACTGTCTTTCTAAAGCAGTCTCCATTTTGTTTATTCCCGGCTTGGACTGGACCCTGATGAAGATTTTTCTTTCAACAGAATGAATGAATGAATGAATGAATGAATGAATGAATGAATGAAGGCTTATGTCAGCCAAGGAGACACCTGTAATGTATACTTTTAAAAAATGTTCGCCAATTATCCTGCTCTGCAAGTTAGAGATTGCAGGGAGAAACTGATGGCAACCTTGAATGATGCCAGACGAGTCAACCAAACTGAACTATGTGACTGAATACTTAAGTTTATACAAAACCCCATTCAGGGCAAGTCGCTCTTCTCCCACCGATCCCTTCTAGCTGTGTACAGACTATAATTCCCACCATCTGTGTTTTAAGGAGCAAGGCTGCCCAAGACAGTTGGCAGGCACTCAGCTGGGGAAGATACAACTCCTAGAGTTTACTTCTCCTAAATAAAATAAACTGTGAATTGTGAATAGCTCATTTAGAACATGAAAAGCAGTTAGGACACATTCAATGGATTACCCGGCTGTGCAGCTGGATGCAACATCTGGTCAACTTGAGCAGAGGATCAAAGAAAGCAGAATCGTGTGTTTCAGTCAAACAGCATTTTCTAATAACGGTGGGGGAGGACATTGGAGGATCTGCTTCTGGCAGCAAACGGTCTTGGGCTGGCGGTACAAAATAGGATTTGGGAATGACCTCGGGGGACAAAGGAAAGAGATGCTGCCGAGGGAAGGAGCAGAGAAGAGCAGGGGGAGCCCCCAGTGGCTTAACCTTCAGAGGAGGAAACTTAGGAAGGACCCACCCTAATGGATCAGGCAGCTAAAAGTGGCATTAGGAAGTTTCAGACTTGCAAGACTCCCTTAATATACCTTTAGAATAAACTAGAATTAGCTCATTGGTCCCATTTCCTGCCTGATTTACCAGGAGGGCTGACATGTTGCTGCACCAGCTCACAATCTCCTGGAGCCGGCTCCAGCAGGATGGGCTTCACGCTGTGCCCTGCATCGGCACCCACCACCACATTCCCCTTAAGCTAAGAGAGCAAAAAGACGACTTTGGATTGAAATCTCTGCTAAAGAGCTCCGTTTCCAGAATCTACCAAGTCCTGCACTGCACTCAGCAAACATTCACGGCGCGTCACCTGGAACCTTCACCTCCACAAGAACTAGCAATTCGGAGGCACCCACGTCTGCCTGTCTTTAGCTTCCCACCCGACTGAGCTTCTGCCCGGGTAGGGCAGGGAATGGAGCGCCAAGGCTCTTACCCTCAGCCCAGTTCCCCATGACCCCCAAGACGGAGGGCATGCTGGGGTACTGCTCTTCGCCTTTGGAAGACTTGGACTTGCTGGCGGGGTGGGGCGATTCGTGCTCATGCTGAGGCACAGCCAGCCCTCTCGCATCCGCACCCTGCCCGTACTGGTAGCCGGCAGGACAGGAATCCCCTTCCGAATCCACCTGGAGGTCTTCTTCAGACGGAGCAGAGTGGCTCGCCTGTTCAGCAGCCCGGTCTTCCAGCTTGTTCGCTTTGTAGGGGGGCCCGTCCGCAGGCTGGGCCAGCCCCAGATGCCGGCTTTTCTTCAGGGGTTCCTGTCTTTGGTCATGTTTGGAGAGGGGCTGGGTGGCTCTCGGGGTGGATGGGTAGTAGCTGAAATTCGTCCAAGAGTTGCTGTTGATCATGCACGTCCCTCGGTCGGGGCTCAGGTGGGAGTGGGGGGGGCTGGACTCCGCTCTCCAGCCGGCACTGTACAAGCACAAGCGCTCCACCCCGTTGGAGCTGACCTCCTTGTCCGAGAGGCTGAAATAGCGGTCCTTCTCCTTCTCACTGATGTCCAGGGAGGACTTGATGAAGGTCTTGCAGACGCTGATGACGTCGGTCATCTGAAGGAAGCTGGCGGCCGACATCACCTCGATCACGTTCTGGCCGGTGAGGGAGAGTTTGCCCGAATACACAAAATCCAGAATCACCGAGAAGGTCTCCGGGGAAAAGGCCTGGAAAGTGGCCGTGGTGGGCTGGCCAGCCTCCTTGGAGCACTGGGAGAGGAGCATCTTGAAGTAGCCGCTGCTGGCAAAGAGCACATTGCGGTGGGCTCTGAAGACCTTCCCCTCCACCAGGATGCTGCAGTCGCAGAAGAGGTCCTGCTGCCGCTGCTCGTTTAACTGCTGCAGGAGGTGGGACTGATGGGAAGAAATCTCCATCCTGAAACCGGGCAGGGTTTATGCTGCAAAAGAGCACAGAGTATTTTTATGTGCCCACAGCGGCTGCAATGCTTTCGGTCAACAACAGCAGGAAGCTATTTTCAGACCTTGGGACAGAGAGAGATACACGTTCATTCATTCATTCGTTCATTCATTCATTCACTCACTCACTCATTCATTCATTTATTCATTCATTCATTCATTCAAGAGCTAATTGGGTAGTGCCCATCTCAGTCAATGACTCTGGGTGACCTATAATCCCAAGAGTATAAAAACAATTAAATAAAAAAAAGTATTTTAAAAACAATAAAAAACATCAGAAATAAGCAGCCAAGATAGTTAGCCAGTTAATGGTAAGGCCAGGATGCTGGGCCCTTAGCGCATTCAATGACCGGGGGGGGGGGGGGGGGCTCGGGAACACAGCCAGGACTTTAGAGCTTTAGGCAGTAGTACACAAGTAGCAGCTCTTCAACAGGAAACCAATTTCTATGTCCCCTTTTAACCAGTGAGTTTCACACAGGCACCCCAATAGTTTCTGTTATCCTGCCAAATAGAGCAGAATTTGATACAAGCAGTCCCTCAGAGCTTCATCCTCAGGAGAATCTCTGGGCCAGTTGCTCTCAACATTCGCAGCAGAAATTTACAGTGTGCAGCCCCCCCACCCACCCCCCATCCATACCACACATTTAAAGAATCCGTCACTTCAGCCATACACAGTACTGCAGTTAAGTCAGCTGATGTAACTATCAGGAAGTTTGCAACTGTGGAAGGAAAAGAATCCTCAATCTGCCTCACACCCCTCATAACATCATACGTGGCCAGCTGTTGTTACATGTGGAAACCTTTTCTCTTCTGTTCTAGTGTGGGATACTCTATTCTATTCTAGTCGAGTACAGTACAGTCTATTCTTCAGCAAAAAATTTCCCGTGCAGACCTATTTTTGTTTTGCAGCCAGCCTGTTTAATCAGGGGCCACACTGACACAACAAACTAACCCCCAAAGCTTGGCTAGCCACATGTCATCTTCTTCCCCAGTTGTTTGCTGCATTTTAGCCAAGCTTTGATGCTTCCCAGGTGATCTGTCCTCAACTCAGCCCGTTGTCCAAACTGGACTTTATAAGGAAGACTTGCAGAATGGAGGCAGTTGATAATCTTATAGAGAAATATAAATAGGTTACGTGATGTGGCCTGTGCAAAACTCAAAGCGCCACCAACCAAGTTCTGATCAGATGGCGAGGCTTCAGTCTTGGTTAGAAGGCAACACTGATGGGTAGTTTACACAAACTTGGCTTGGGGTGCTGTGCAAACTGTTTGTGCCTTTCCTTGGAATCTGGCACTTCTTAGATCTGGAGGATTGACTAGCAGCCACACATTCATTCTGAACTGGCATACTATGAGTGTGTGTGTGTGTGTGTGTGTGTGTGTGTGTTATTCTTGATTGCTGTGATTTTGGCTGCTTGCATCTTCCCCTCTTTCCAGCCTCCCCAGGCCTTTTCTGGGGACCAGGGAGAGCCGGAGTTCTGGAGGCTGCTGAAGGGCCTCGGGACCTCGTGCCAGCCCGCCCAAGCCAGCCTTCCCCGCCGAGGCTTCTGGCCGTTCCGAGCAGCTGCTGCTCAGGTGGACTCGCGCTGGGCGAATCTCTCCGCCGAGGCCGGCGGGTTCCCTCAGGGCGGCAGAAGCCTCCGGCGATGAAGACCGCGGTTAGCCCGCTTAGGTCAACGGAGGCTGAGCGTCCCTCGCTGACGCGAGCCGGGCGGCATCTCCGGCCTGCGCCTTGAAGGCTGGGCCGGGGGGAGGGCGCACTTCCCGCCGCTCCGCTCTTTCCTCGCAGGCCGGAGGGCCCCGCCGGCGGGTTGCCCGGAATGCGCGCCACGGCGCTCCGAGAGCGGCTCGTCCGGCGGGGGCCGAAGCGCCTTGGCGGGCAGAGGGACGCGGCGCCCAAACCGCCATTTGCTCGGCGCCGGGAAGGGCAGCGCCAAGCGCCGGGGGGCTGGAGGGTCCCCGCCCTTCAGGTGCGCTCCGAGGACGGCCAGCGCGGCCACTGAGGACGCTCCTGAGCCGCGCCCGCCCGGGGCCGCAGGGCGACGCACCGCCTGAGGACGCCCAACCGCCCGCCC